AAAACGAAACAAAGGGATGCAAAGCAGAGACCAAAGAGTCTATTGTGAAGTTACTAAATTAGTATAACTTTATATAAAATAACAAAACACTCAAAATTTCTACAAAGAGATGCAAAATATCTACAAAAGGCCTCAAAATATCCAGAAACACACTATTAAAACTATAAGAATGTCACATGACAAAACACTACAGAGGTCTAAAAAGTACTAAAAGGAAATATAAAACAACTAGAGTGATAAGTACGACTAAAACAAAGAGAAATGAACATATAGAAAATGCAAATGAATGATAAAAAAAGCAAAGCTCTGGTTTCCATGCAGGAGGGGTAGTTTGCTCTCCACAGAATGGTTTCAGTGAGGAGATGAGTGCTGGCTTTTAAAAAACCCTCTCAGGAGGTCTAACCCCAGTGTTCGTGCAGCAAGTGTCCCTTGCCATGACCGGTTCACTCGCTGCTCCTCCTCTTCCTTAATTCTATCAACACCGATGGGTGCTACTGATGGGTTTGAAAGCATGGATTTTTCTGGGTAATTACAGTTTTACACCACAAATGGATCTAAATGGATTTTTTTGTGACACTGTATTGATCCCTCAGGGGCAAATTTGTCTTTTTTTGCTTGCTGTCTGCCTCCAGAATATAGAGAGGTGGAGTAAGGCTACTAAGGCTCTTTGATACAGCAGGAACAAGTGCAGTAAAGTTTACCCAAAAGAGGTTCTTGCAAACTACACAGAAAGACTAAGCACATTTCTCCTTTTCCTATCTGAATCAATAAAGAGAAGAAGATTGATTTATGAAGACTGATTTATGGTGAGTTGAGGTAGACTTTATTGATTCCTGCAGGAAAAAAATGTTCTCTCTCTTTAACCCATCGCAAAAACTAAGACCAGTGGGCAGCCCCTATGCGGCAACAATAGAGTTTCAAGCAAATGCCTTGGTCAAGGGTATTTTTAACCTAGTATTTGATGATGAATCATAAATGATGACAACTGGAATTATCTGAACTTTGTTGAAGAGGGAAAAAAAATGCTGAAATAGTTTTTATGTTATCCTGACCAAGCAAAAGCTGAACAGCTTATAACATGCTGGCATGCATTCTATTATACTGTCAGGATGTATAAAAATAATAATCAGGTTTTAAAACAACAAAAATTAAAGATGCAAATAGCAAACTGATAAATTCATTTTAAACAAAGCAAAAAATAAAAAGTGCAAAATCACATCATCACCATCAGCAATTTATTTCAAAACAGCTTCTAGAATAGTTTTAACCATAGCCTTTATCCGGACCTCTAAATTGCTGCACACATTTCAGACCCTTTTCCATCAGGGTTTCACATAAATGTAGTTTTGTGACTCAGTAATGGCTGCAACCGCAGTTAGAAAAGCAACTGAGCCAATCACAGCTTTTTACGAGAAATTACAAATGTGGAAGTTGTGTACCTGTACCGAAGCCAAAAAAATCTGTGACAGGAAAATTGGTACAAAACAAGCACTGATGGGCTGTTTGGAATACTGCCAAGTTGAGACCTTGTGCATCCGGGTTGATTGGGACAATTGCTTGTTCTAACAACTGCAGCGTGTTATAGTGTAGCAGGACCAATATCCACAATAACACAATGAAATAATTTTTCACTTTCTCATCAGGTTTACCATTGTGTAAACCAATGACGGTACACAGAGTGCTTCGTTGCATAACAACAAATGACAAATTTGGTTTCTGGCACCAAACTAATCACCAATGTGGGGATGTGATTGACTGGAAGTCTTGCAGCGATGTTGGCGAGCTAACTTATAGCAAAAATGCAACTTTGTAATTACTTTATCTGACCACAGGACAGCTAAAGGAGCAATATAATAATATATAAAAATGCAATATAGTAATATCCACTGATTAAAATTCAAATTACAGTAAGGTGACAATATTGATACTGCTCTTCTGGCTGATAATCATGAAGCAATAACAGCAGCTAGTTAGCTTAAATATGTAAGAAAACTTCAGACCTAAGAATACATAAAATGGACATAGCCACCATAATATTCTTTGTTTGTGGACTAGTGATCATTTGTAACAGAAAACACTGTTATATTGCATAGAAAATGGTTGTAACTGCAATCACCATCTGTTAGTGCGCTATGAGATTGTACTCGTGTAGTGCACTTCCTCAGTGCTGATGTTCAAGCATAGACTGTAATGCATCGAGGAAAAGGAGAGAAACATCTCAATATGAAGCGGCACTAGGCATTTGTTTTCATTAGTTTGGGAAAATATGCCGATATGCTATAACGATATGGAATATGCATATAACACAAAAATGTCTTTGTTATATTCAACTTGCATTAAAGAAATGAAGAAAAAAAAAGCAGAGAAAGTGGCTGAAAGTCTTGTTTTCATTTTGCCAATGAGCTTAATTTTTCTACAAAACAAGTAGTGAATGATCAGTGCTGATGTATAAAGGTACTTTCAACTGTTCTCTTTTCCCAAAGGGTTGCTACAATGGATGGATTTGAATAGTTTTCCAGGACTGGGACAGGGTTTGTGTCACATCCTGGTCTTGAACTGAGGATCACTCACATTTAAGGCAAAATGTGTTAACCACTACACTGTGGAGCCACAAACTAGTGCTAATGCATAAATAAAGTAATATTAGAATTTTACTAACTGAAACGAATCCCAGCACAGTGGAGTATTTATTGGCTGGTCTCTCTCTCATAGAGGGCCGAATGACTTTTGAGATAACTGCACTGAAAAGCATCAGCAAATGCCTTAGCGATGGTTAAATGTAGTAGACAGTTAGAGGCGTTCAAACATCAATCAATCAACGTCAATAATACATAACTCTAAGCCTTCACACAGTGAGTGTGATGCACCATAGTTCATAAATGTGTTCATCTCTTCCATAAATTCTTTTAACATGGGAGTGTATGTGGATTGTTGAGCTTCTGAAGCCAGCTTCAGGTGGATATCAAAGGAGGTGCAGTTTTAGAAACTTCTCCTGGGCTTCGTTTTTTAGGCCAGGAGTTTGTCATTTGATTAAAACTGAAAGCAGGAGGAAACAGTTAACATAGGCCTGTCCAAATATGGCAAAATCTTCTTACCAACCAACACCACTTAACCTCGCTAATTAGCTAATTAACGCTAATTAACAAGAAATAAACACGAAACTGAATAATTAAGTGACAACGAGACGCCACTTCATTCTGATTATCAGCCCACGTCAGGTCCCATATATCTGAGCGTTGCAGTGCTTTACATGGCAGCAAACAATTTGCAGAGGAACATTATTCCTTAATTATTCATATCTGCATTTCTTGTGCGAAAATAGGAAAAATGTTTCACGTCACATCACTTTATCCTCACCTGGTATTTGATTACTTTCTTCTCTCTCCACTCATTGTTTCATCAGCTGACGGTTTGTTTGATTAAACTCAGCTGCCTCCTGATTGGAATAACCTGTCATTTTAATCAAAATGATCTTATATTATGCCAGTTGTTGGGTGCTGTTTGATGAAAATTACCTGCTGTTGGTTTGCAATTACCTTTCTGATTATTCGCCAGAAACATTCTTATCAAAACACCTTTGGGGCTTTTGAAAGATTAAAGGGTACTTGCTGTTCCTGTTTTTACAAGAAAGGACACTGAAATATTCATACGTCTGTTTATGTCAACTGCTTTTTTAACGAGATGCATTATTGACTTTCGCTGCCTCTCTCGCCCGTTGTCTCCTCCCTCCCTGCATTATGTAGAGTATAATTGTCTTTATTTCAGCTTGTGCTAAATATGCTCAAGGCTCCTCTTGCTTTAATGTTTTTGGTTTTCTGTGCACAAAACCATTGACAGCACTTTGCTGTTGTGACCTTATGGATTCTCCCTTTGGATATTAAGAAATTGCCAATAAATCAATTTATGTGCTTTAGCAGAATATTAAGGTGCATTTGTGGAAGTGGGAGGCATCAGGAGGAGTGGACTCCAGCTGTTCAGTATTTGCAACAGGGCTCAGAATGCATCATGAAGCCGTTCCTTGGCATTACGGTTATTGCACACCCGGGTACATTATCTTTCCATTACATCAAGCAGTTTGATAGAGTCATACTCTCAGGGCACTTCTAATTTCTAGCGGTACATCTGGGATTTCTTAGAAGCGCTACCTTCCTTTTTGCTGATACCAGCTGACGGTGTTCCACACCAAATCTGTACCGTCGGTTCATTTAAGCCTCATTCATGCTGCACAAAGCACTGATGCTTTCGCTGGAACAGTTGAGCCTTCTTCTAATTGGCTTCTGAACACGCGTGTTTTTATGTACCCCTGAGGATGTTTTTAGTGCTGCCTACTTGCTAATGCATGTGGGCGAGCCAAAAAACACATTACCTGCATCCATCTCATCTGCAGTAAATGGTTAAATCTATGACAAACGTTATTTCATCACTGAACTAGTTTTTCTTGTGTAAGTCAAAGTCATTTTTGGCCTGACATTGCCAAGTCCTGTAAGGATAGTAATTGGATTTCCAGAATAAGCGAAAATCTCCTTTCTCTCCCTGCCCTGCTCTAGTAATTGAGGTTAAATGAAATGGTCAGCCATGCACTAAACCTCAGTGGGTGTTCAGAACTGAGCGTCTGTAGGATAAAAGAGGGCTCTTATTTGAGTTCTTTGTGTTCAGACTTGCCAAAATGTCTCAAATAACAAACATAAGGGTATATTTATGATGAAAATAACATGATTTGTGTGACAAGGCTTTGACAACATCAGTGATGTACCTCATCTGACTCACCATCACCAGTGAACCTGTAATGAGTGAGGTTTTCTTGTGGTTGGCTGTACTGCACAAACTGTGACCTTGACCATGGCTTAGGTGAAGAGTCATTAGGTGATCACTGAGTGCAAGTTTGATTAAGTTGTGACCACTTCTCTAGAAGGAGTACTGATTCTTGTGGACTGTGGACCGACATGAGCTCACTGGCTTTAAAAACGGTAGATGCAAGCGTTTCGGTTGGGAACACTAACCATACATCTTCTGCGTCCACATCGCACTCTGCCCCAAACTGGCAAATGTCACAGGTGGACGTCTCCTTCAGCCCAGTCTCCGCTGAGCCCTCTCCTCCTGCAAGAAACAGAGAGAAACAGAGGAAAACATGCGATGACTGATTCGTTGCTGCCATTTCTTCTCTTACTTGTTGTCTAAAAGCCAGCAGGCTCTTTCCAACCTCTCACAATGTGACCATGAGAAAGCAGACAAGTGCATTAACATTCTGCCATATCCCGTCATAATCCCAGCGAAGCTATCTCCTTCATCCATTCACTCTTACCCCCTTCCTCCACCCCTTTCGGGTCCCTCGCCTGACTCTCATCTATCTCTCTCAAATCCCCGCTGATCTCTTCGGAGTCCCTCTTTTATTTCATCTCGCTGATTTTCTCGCTCTGAGAGTGCGACGACTCTTTGGCGGCAGTGTAGGTACTGGCGTCAGGCTTATGGTGGCTTAGGGACCCCACCGGTGCATATCACGCCTCATGAGTGGCCGAAGGGGAGAAGAAAAGGGGGGGAGAGAAAAGTAATCTGGCCAATCTCAAATTGCATTCTCCTACCACAGAGGACTCTGCACGCTCTTTCGTGCTTTTTCTCCTTTCCCTTCGGCCCTCTTCTCCATTAGACAAGCTCTATTTTTAAACTTACCAGGGCCCGTGGGAACAACTTTGGAAAAGAAGACGAAGAGGTGGAACTTGGCATCATTTCCCCATGTCATATCTTTAATCTCCCCAACACACACACACGCTTGCACAGACACCCACGCTGCTGCCACCACGCATTGCTCCCTTGTGTCACATCTTTCATTTTCCCTTCAGAAACTTTTGTTATTTCTTGTGATCCCTCGCGACACGCTGGATTGAATTGGAAAGAACTCCGGTAGAAAGGTTTTAACCTGATTTTCCACTAAAAGGCTTAAGTTGAGTTTGACTCTTCTTTTAAGGTCAAAGTCAGTAAGGTCTGCTTTGTTTGACTGTTAACATGTGAAGTTCCTTATCCATAACTCTCAGCTTGAATTTTGTTGCTATTGGTCAGATTATCCCAACAGCTTTGTCCGTGCCTTTTGCTTGTGTCCAATCCCACAATGCAGCCTACATGAGTGAAAACTTCTTTTGCTGAGGATGTTAAGCTCCTTTCAAACGCTCTGCCTTTGCTTTCGGTGTTTTTTCCCCCCCTTTTCTTTTGAAGCTGCGTCTGATGCTGCTGCAGGTGTTAGACGGCAGCCATGGCAATGAGGCAGCATGTCCTCTGAATGCTGAACATCTGCAGTCATGTGAAAAGATGTACATTTTGAATTCACTGCTTTACCTTCAGGTCACAGGGCTGGCAAGAATACAAAATGTGAAATGGTGTTGATGTTTAGCCATCGAGTTTAATGTGAACGCAGAGAGAAATCTTTTGCTTAGTTTGTCTTTTTAAACCTCTTTCAAGTTCCACTTTAGGTTAACTTTGAAATGCCTAATCAACAAATAGCACGCTTACTTTATAAATGCTTTAAAACATAGAAATTTTCTTTGTAAAAGTTTTGTTCACCTAATTCTGCAGTAAAAAACAATCAGTAGATGACTTTGAACTAATAAATAAATCTTGGACTGGCTCTTTTATAGTGCTTTTCTACACCTGAGAACTCAAAAGTTCTTTATATAGCATTTCTCATTTACTCAAGCACTTTTTTTCATCTATATCTGCTCATATTTGAAAATATTCATCCTTTATCGTATTCTGGGTCTTTGTGTAACACTCACAGGTTGTCTTCAGTCTGAAACAAGATGTTTTAGCTTCCTAGCCTCTCTGGCTTGTCTTCTGATTGGCTCTGCACTGCAAACAGAACATTTGAACAGAAGTTGGCTGAACCTCCTTTAAAAGCACAGTTTTACAAATGTTTTATAAAGTATTCTTGCATCTGTATGATAGCTTAATGTATGTGAGAGTGGATATCCTTAGTACAGTCACAATATCAGACACACAGCTCTGGTGGTGAGCACAGAAGTTGGCTCAAAGAGTGCTACAACAGCTTGTTTCAGGCTGAACAAACTAAGGGCTACACCAAGGCTCAACACAGGATAAATAAGGATTATTTGAACTATAAATGCATGTACCAAAGGCACTCTAGTAGAAACCATGAATAAAAATATGGAACTATAAATAAATTGCCTCTTTAAAGTGATAATGTTTAGCTGTTATACTGATTTATTCCGGTGTATTTATCTTGTCCTTAGATATACAGTGTAACCAGAATGGACAAAACATGATGCCTGCCTACAAATTGCATTCAATTAAAAGTGTGTTGAGAGCCCTGTAAGAGTAAAATGTGTCATATAAATTCCAGTCAATGCACCACTTACAATTTACACCCTCAAAGGTAAACATTTATCTTGTTTTTAGCTGCTAAATAATATATTGATTAAAGTTTTTATCTTCTAACACATTTCTTCTTCCCTCTGGTAAGTCAAGCTCCAAAACTCCAGGAGTTTCACTTTGCACAATGTAGCTCATTAGTATATTTTCTTTATAACCTCTTTGCTCTGGTAATTGCCATCTTGTTCAAATTCTTCAGTTTGCAAGTCAGAGGTGTTCTTATAAATCTACGTAAAGAATAGATGAGATGTATGCAATGCACAACATCAGAGGCCGAATACAAAAAAATAAATAAAATCTGCTAACGTGCCCTTTAAAGCCCATTAACAGGAAAAAGAAATCCATGTCTGTGAATTCATATACTTCCAAGGACTTCTGTCAGTGTTGTTCTCAAGTGTTCAACAGCGCATAGCAGTTCAATTATATGGACTCGGGTTTTGTCTCACATCAGAGTTTAGCGTATTGTCAGCGCAGAGACTCCAGCTGATTGAATTAGCCAGTTGTGACTCTTTGACCACTGATGTGAATGTAATTTCCCTTATTTCCACCTGTCATGTATGTTTTGGTGTGTGAAATTCTCTCTCCCTCTCTGTTACACACACACACACACACACACACACACACACACACACACACACACACAGGTTGCAGCAATTTTCAGTTCTTGGAGGCACCAGAACTAGCCAGCCTCTCCAGCCTTTCTGTACTCTGTCAAATGATCAGCTTCAAATAAAGGCTTGTGGGCAGGCGAGCATGTAAGCTCTCCCACGACTCTACTCTCCCACAATTGCACACGGGAGAAGGAGAGGGAGACAGAGAGAGCGAACCCATGCATGTTTCTGTATCGCCCGCTTGTATTTCTTACATGTGTATTCGCGCATACATGGCACAGATGCCAGGATTATCTCCATGCCTGCTTCTTTCTGTCCTTTTCTCCATAGAACTGCAGCCAACACTTCACGCACTTTTCCCCAGATCCCCATTCTCAGTATTGCAGACACAATTACCAAAAGCAACTTGGGACAGGCAGTATTTTCCACATTCCAAATCCCCGATAGAGTCTCATGTAGCACTAACACAACATCTCCCGTGTTTCTGTGCCTGCTAATCCCAGGAATCAGGAGACACGGCTGCGTAATGACTGAAATGATTAGCCCCTCTGCTGCCCCCACAATCACCCCCCACCAGCTCCTACATCACCTAATATCGATCCATGCCTGGACCAGAGCGGTCGACCGGCCTCCTCTATGAGTAAGATCCTATAGCCTCACCTTCATCTCTAACAAAACCTGCCTTCCCTTTGTTTTAATGCTTTCAGGCTAAATAAACACATGAAATGTAGATTTTGTGCAAGACTACAGCAAAAGGAGAGAAGAAGGCACAGAAAGAAGAGAGAAGGGACGTTTAGGATTAAGTTACTAGGCAGAGAAGAAGAGATCAGAGTGAAAAATGTGCGTTAAAGGGGAGATAAGCAGGATAAGAGATAAAATGACAGAGGAGTAAAAAAATGGTGGATCAGTCACAAAGGTGCTGTGGACCTTCATCCGGGGGTTAGAGAGCATTCTTAATCCCCTTAGTACTGTGTATGGAGATTAGCCATGCATGCATCCACGGAAATTCACATAAAAAAAACAGCAGAATTCATCACTCCACTGGTGGCGCTAGCTATGCATTCTCCAGGCTGCCGTAGAAAAAACGGTTTGCTGCAAGGGAGGACACCAGCGACAAGCCTGGAGCTCATTTAACTGCAGCAGCCGCCTGAGTCAGTGTGCTGAAAGCAGGCGCTGGTCGATTTGTTCGGCTCCTGTAACTTGTGAAATAAAAGCAGGGACATCCAGTGTGCAGTCCCTGAAGCATATTTGTGATTCTGGGTGAATTGCAACTGAGGTCTAGTAGTTAACCACAATCATTTCTCACGCAGATTGTGACTTTACGAGCATATTATGACAAAAGGAACATTGCCGTCCAATCTAGTGGTGACATTTTTGTGCAAATGTGTACACAGTTTATTCACCGCCAACAGCAAATAGATCAGCTGCACAGATGTAGCTGTTAACTACCAACATATGTAGCAACTGTGCGTTTCTGCGACTGCACACACGCTTTCGAATCTATAATAATAATTTCCCACCAGTACGCGCTCATTTCATTTTGTTTTTTATTACCTACAAATGTTCATGAACTGGAGTCACAAAGATCAGGACAACATGTTCTTTAAGCATCTCAGTTAAAACATTTTCAATTCACATCCTCCGCTGAAAATTTGCATTTGTCTATTTGTGCTGTGTGTCTTTCTGTTGGCTTCATTTGCAATGACGACACATCTAAAATTCACTTTGCATTCAGTCTAAACACACCTTGTGACACAATCGTGTTTAAACTACCTATCAGAGAACTAGCATGTGAACTAAATTTAAACACATTCAAAGAAAAGGCTGATGTGGAGCCACCGAACAACACACAAAGGCACTGAATAGTAAAGCAAAAATATAAGTAGAGGATAAGTAGCCCGTCCTCCAAAAATGTCCACGAATGATCGGCTCTGAATGAGCTACAGGCTTTCATAGCTGAGATAGGACCTGCTAATGCTGGAGTGATTTTGCCTGCCATTGCTTTATGCCTATCAAAAACGAGGCTAGTATTTGCCAGAAGACTTAGCAGAGACTCGGTGAAAGAGGGTTATATGGTTTAAAAAAAACAAACTCTGCAGCCCAGATTAT